AAGAAACAACAATAGCTGAAAGAAAGATTATGTTAAAATGTATTAAATATATGTGTATATGAGCAAAGAAAATCTTGCTCGGAAATAAAAAAAATTATTACTTATTGTTGTAATCATTATTATAGTATATTAGTATAGTATTGTTATTATAGTTGCTTTATCGTAAGAAGTGTGATTGAATGATTTCTTGGCATACGATCTAATAAATGCTACGCAAAGCGGATGTCCTCGAGAGCTTACAGACCAAGAAAAAAAAGATAGTCAATATAATAACAGTAATAATAATAACAATAACAACAACAATAATAATAAAAGATTGAAGTTCACTATTAATTATGTAGACAAAAATATAACATTTTAGAAAAAAATACTGTTTCCAGATGAAACTAAATTTAATATTTTTCAATGCGATGGTCGGGTTTTAGATTAGCGAAAACTGAATACTGAATTTGTTGAAGTGAATCTCACTTCTAGGAAAACTCTACATCTCTAGTGTTTAGTTTTTGGCACAACGATTCTCTTTACAGCGACTTCTTTAGTCTCTATTATAGTACCGCGGAAAGATCGTCAACATACAGACAATATCGACGATAAAGTGCAAATGCCAACAAGCCGAAAGGGTCGGAAAACTTCAATAGGCCTAACGGCCATCAATATATTTCGGCACAGCAGCAGTTGTTGTTCAGTTAGCCATCCGAGAATCAAGAGTCAAAAGTCGTTAATCGAGAGTTGTCATATCATACTACTGCATTGAATTCACGTTAAATAATCATCGTTTTCTGTTTAATCCACTGTAATAAATCCATCTATCAATACATTATCACATAGAATAGAAACCACTGGAAATCCTAATTTTTAACATTTCTGAATAAAGAATTTCTATAATACATTCATCCACGCGTTTGCTCTCTCTATTCCGAGATATAAAACCTCAACAGGATTAGATAAAAAAGGCATTGTTCAAAGCGTCAAATGCAGTGGTGTCAGGGTAGTAATATGGGGAATGTCTTTTGCTATAGGAGAGTTTGTTTTTATTGAATATACCATTACATTATTATTACATACCATATTGAATAATACTATGCACAAATATAGATATTTAAATATTTTAAAGCAAAAGTGCGAGAAAAATGAAATTTAAGACAAGACTGTTATGTTCAACAGGATAATTATTCCAAATACATAGCCTATATTGTTAAATAATGGATCATTTTTAATACATCGGATATTTTAACGACTCCTCTACAATCCTCAGCTCTAAATCCTGTAGAGGATCTTTGGTCTGAATTAGGCAGAAGGATTAAAACATCATATTACGTCTAAGCAAGAAGAACTGTAGAAACCATTGCTTGAAGAATGGCACAAAATAGATCCAAAAATTACAAAAAATTTAGTAAATTCAATACCTAATCGTCTGAAAGCTGTTATAAAAAAACGAATTGCATACTAAATAGTAAATCAAATGTTATGATAAATTTATACCGCAAAATCATAAGTGTGCCGATACTTTTGTCCCGCTGAAAACGGACGTTTATGTGTGTTTTATCTTTCTTTTTCTTTATTATAACTATTTTTTAAATGTATACTTAGATATTATATATTAGTATATATAGAGTCGACAGCTACACTTTACAAAAAAATTAAACAGAAAATCACATTCTTTACAGATTTACAAAGAATTTTATACGAAGACTTGGGGTCCGTGTGTGATGATGCGATAATACTTTTGTTTTGCATTGTATGTATATATTAAGCAAAACATCCTGTATAATATCCGAATATCCCAGCTTCCAAATGTGAAATATATCTGGAAATGTAATTAGGAGTTCTTCTGTTGGAAATATTGAAATAGTTTTGTCTGAATAGTCGAACAGGAATACTATTATTGATTTATCAAGCTATTATCTTTCTTGTTCAGATAATCGACATTCTATCTCAGTCTTCTTTCTCATTATATAATAGCGAAATATACGAAAAATTGCTTCAAACTACAAAAAATAATTGTACTCTTTAATATCTTGACACAAACAAAGAAAGGAATATAAACATTTACAATTAAACATGAAAATATCTGTATTTGTTACGATCTGGTCTTGATCTTCGGTGTTCGTAACCGTTATGTGTGTGGCGGATCGGTATCAACAGGACGCTGACAGGACGAGGCAACAACGCGGCGCAACACCTCCCGGGCGATCCGCGGGTACCAACCGCCCAACACTAGAGGGCTACGACGACAACGAGTCTATCTGTCTAACTCGCTAGCGGTCAAATATACGAGCGATTGATACAAATACCGCACCTAGCGAGACGCCCTCTACGTCTAAGGCAGGGACTACCGGGCATAGCCTTACTGACGAGTCCACCCGTAGTCCCGGGACGAAACGCACCTCACTCTCCTCTTCACATCCGCCACATGTGTTACTCTGGATGCCGAATCTTGGGTTTCTCGAATTATATTTAAATCAAAACGGTAGTTGCTGCCACCAGAAATAGTTATTAATTATTTCGATTAGTTAGACTCTCATGTGCTATTTTTGAAACAAGGCAAACGACTAAATGGTATGATTTCAAAACTTGTCGCACCCTTCTAGAGCGTGGCACTATTCCGAATATCCCAGGAGGTTTTGCTCTAATTACTTCCGCGACAACCGAATGGATTTTTTCAAAACTTGTCGCACCCTTTTAAGGCGCAGCACTATTTTGAATTTCCAAACTACCGGGCATACCCTTACTGACGAGTCCACCGGTAGTCCCGGGACGAAACGCACCTCACTCTCCTCTTCACATCCGCCACATGTGTTACTCTGGATGCCGAATCTTGGGTTTCTCGAATTATATTTAAATCAAAACGGTAGTTGCTGCCACCAGAAATAGTTATTAATTATTTCGATTAGTTAGACTCTCATGTGCTATTTTTGAAACAAGGCAAACGACTAAATGGTATGATTTCAAAACTTGTCGCACCCTTCTAGAGCGTGGCACTATTCCGAATATCCCAGGAGGTTTTGCTCTAATTACTTCCGCGACAACCGAATGGATTTTTTCAAAACTTGTCGCACCCTTTTAAGGCGCAGCACTATTTTGAATTTCCAAACTGTTGTATCCTTAATGTTTTAATTCATTAATATAACCGTATGGGTATCGTTAACTATCGTATCAATACAACTGATAAATAAAATTCCACGTTTCGGCTTACCCGCTATGTGCAAGATGGGAAGGATTAAGGTTCTCTTAGAATAAATAAATATTTCTGATATCTTCTTAATTATTGACAATAATAGTCAATGAATAATTTTATTGAAGTCGTACATGTGGTACGAGTCCGAAATCGAAGAAGAAAGTGTTACAATGTTTAGCTTCTCACCTTGTTTGTATGTATGGTCGATCGCATTCTTGGAATATCGTACTGAGTTGGCATAGTTGTTGGAAGACTGACTGTATGAATCTTTGACGATTAATAAATGGTCGGTTCTATTTCTTGACGTTACTCGAAGACTATATTAAAACAATTGTCGTCTTCGCAAAAACTACTGTTCTTCTGAACTTGATATTAACTCTTAACAAATCGTTAACTGACTGAGCTCTTACTGACTCTAATTCAACTCGATGAAAATTTCAACTAACTGGATTGAACTCTATAACTGAACTGAATAACTTTGCTGATGCCGATACTTGATTTTTTGGCGCGTCTAGTTGTTTGTCGCTGTTAATGCTGTGTAAGAAGGTCGTAGCATCTCAACTTCCATTATCTACTTATCGTACTGTGTACCCTGTATTGTGGCGGGGAGAGCGCGTGCAAGGCAGTACGTATCAGTGGACGTTTCATTGTTCCTTTTTTCCATTTCGATATTCTTAGATTTTAATTTTGTTCAATAATAATGTTGTGTATTGGTTTATTGATTTATTGCGATATTAAAGTATTTATACGTGTAGTATCTTTTATTTTCTTTATGTTTTCTGTTTTTTAATTCCATTCGTTTAGAGTGTGCCTCGTGCTATTCGCGAGCTGTGGCGTATCACGTTACTTGTCGTGTGGAGCGCGAGACGTGACAATATCTGATTAAAATTTTCAATATATATTTCTACTTTCCTATTAAATTATTCGAGTTTTCGTTTTTTCATTGAATAAGCGATTCCAAAATGTTTCTTAGATATTGTTTATTTATAATATCGAGATATATACATATGAAACAGAATGACAACAGAAGATTATTGGTATATGTAATAAATACACAGTACTGTGCAAAAGCCTTAAGTCATCTACGATAGTGATCTCGTTTTGCCAATTAATCATGTTTTCACATGAAATATTTTCATTCGGGAAATATTCTTACATGATATTAGCAAAAGCGAATATTTAATTATTACCGTGTTTGTTGCTTTTTTCTTGTTTATAAATTTTCTTTTAAATTGTTTGATAAATACCGTTACCTAACTTAAATGTTGTAAAATATATATAGAATGTTTCATGAGAAAGGAAATACTAAAGCTTGTACAAACTAAAGATACTAAAGATTGCACAGAATGTAGGAAATGAGTTTAATAAAAAAAAAATTATTCGGTAATATTCTACGAAGGGCTTCTGTTATCGAAAGACAAAAGAAATTGGTACCAAATATTAATTATTTCGAGGTAGATTGATACCTTTTTAACAAATTACCAATGATTCTTGAATTAAACGTTTTAAAAAGTTACAACAAATTTAAAATGACAGCGATATATTTTTATATTCATCCATAAAAACAAAACATCTCCATTTGGTACGTGATCTAGGATTTTTGTGTAGAAATGCCGTATATAAAACACATACTTAAAAGGCTTAAATACTTTTAATGGGTTCGTTTTACTATTTGCCCCTTAATATTCCATGTAGAAATTTACTTTAAATATTCTGCATTACTTGAGATTATCAATTTAGCGTAAAATAATGAAAGAAATTCAATTTAAATAAAGATTAGCAGAATCGAATGCATGAAGATGTAATATAAATGCGTTAACAGGGCAAGAAAAGGCCAGGATGGACATAACACGCGATCGTTGCCACGGCATTTCAAGCTATCAGCACATTCACCAGGTGCTGCGTTAGGCTACTACGACTCTACCAAAGACAAGTTGCTAGTGACTAAATCGATATCCTTGCTATGTCAGCAGCCTTACCTTCATGCCGCGAAAACGTTCCTGACTAATCTCTACAAGTGAGTGTATATCTAACTTATCATCTTACAACGTTCCATCATCTCTCGCTAGTTTGATAATGTAGAAGATCGTTAATAAACTACTTTCACCCTTGAAATAACCATTATCTCAAGCCAAATTAAGTTAAGTTTCCTTTGAAGATATTATAAATTGACATTTTTAGTGACAAGAAGTACGAAATTTTAGTTTCCAAATAAATTTTTCAAAATTTCCAATGATTCGTATTATTTTTTTAAATTTCTTCAAAATCCATTTTACTCCTTTATTACTTTTGTGGAGTTAAATATTAAAGAAAGCTGAAGCTTGTATAATTTAACCAATCAATTAATATACTATCACTCAGTAAAAAGTATAGATAACGCAAAATAACGTTTTTGCTTACAAAAAATCAAAGAATAAATGTACTATGGACACCATTACACATTTTAAGTGGAATTTATAGAATCAGAAAATTCTTTTAGGAAATTAATCATCTATCAAGAAATATAAGCCTTTTCAAAACTATAATTTCCACGGGCGAGAGAAAGTTAGAGCTATATACATTTAAAACTACGTAAAATTTAAGGCAATATCGAAGCTTACATTCCTATTATATATACACTACCTATTGGAAGCTAACAGAATATGTATCTTTATAGATGTGTTCCTAGACATCCAGGACCTGGTCTTAGTTTAGAGTCATACGTATACAATTTGTTGTACAATGTGCCGGTACCATTACCTGGAAAGTCGTTAAAGTTCTTCATTCCCAATGACGAGCCAGCGAAATCGCCATTAGAGCTGGTTATCCATCAGCCAACGCCATCGCAGGAGTTACAAATGCTAGATTACCCTCTGAAGGATATATTCACATGGCTTGGAGCGGATTGTGTGATTCAATTGTTTACATGTGTCCTATTGGAGAATCAAGTATTACTCAGAAGTTCAGATTTCCACAAGTTGATGGTGGTATCCGAATGCATAACGGCGCTTCTCTTTCCGTTTTCTTGGCAACATGTGTACGTGCCGATATTGCCCGCCAGTCTACATCACTTCTTGGACGCGCCGGTACCATTTATAATGGGTTTGCACGCGCAAAGTGAGGGCGGTGTATTGAAAATTGCCAGCGAAGTGAGTGTTTAGCGCTTTTCAAAATCAGCGCCTTAAAATTTCTATCATCTTGTACATTGAAAATTATTATGAAAATTAAATGGAAAATCAAATGCTTTAGATCCGAAAAAAATTTGATTCTCCGCTATTAAAATAAAGGAATACCTCTCTTTAGGAGTTGCATGTTTCTTTGAAAATATATTTATTTCACTATTTTATTTGTGTTCCTAAAATTATTTGTTGAAATATACAAAAATAAAAATGCGCTAGTAACACCGAATATGTTATTTGGAGCGGACATTTAAAAAATTAGTCATTTTTCTCTTGTATGCATTTCTGTTTTATGATAGAATAGATTTACTAAGATAGAGAATTTGGCAAAAATTTGAAAATCTTCTAATCCAAGTTGTGAACTAGTTTGAATTTAAGATTATTTTATGTTATTTAATCTAATCTGACGTAGTTAAAATGTCTTCTCTTTTTTCTTCTTTTAATTTTGTGTTTGAGATGACGCTATTTTAGATTCTGTTTCTTGATTGCAGGCAAATCTTTGTTATGTAGATATAGATAAGCAAAGTAGCCAATTTCCAGAAGAGTTACCTGTATTTCCACATAAAATGCAATTTATTGCCGAGATTAGAGCTCTCTTAAACAAGTACAAAGTACCACACGCGGGAAAGTAAGTTGAAAATGTTCATCTTTTTCTTTTTTATATGAGTATTTTTCAACTGTTAAGATCAAAATGTTTTTTCAGGACTGATAACACGGTCATAAATCATTATAACGGTGACATCATGACTAGTAGTTTGACGCTTCCTGGTTCTGGATGTCATCTTCCTCGCAGAAAACATTCGTTACACGATGTCTTGGATTGGAATCGACCGGAACCGACGTCACAATCAGACACGTTACAAAGGATAGTAGATATCGCTAAAAGAACTGGTAAAGATTTTTTATTTTATATAATTTTATTTATATATATTTTTATATAAATTCTTGTATATAAATTTCTTTAAATTTATTTATGTAAAATTTTTCTGCTTTCTTTCTAAGAGCTCTAATAATAGAAGACTTACTTAGGTGAATTAAACATTTTGATAGTTATTGTATGCTAAATATAGTAAAGGAGCTTTTTAACTAAATATAGATATGTTTAGTTTTAGAGCATCATTTGGTCATTTTTGTTTAGTATCCATTTTTCTTGCAGTGAACGTGGAAGATATTGATTCAGTGGAAGATAACGTGAAAGAGCAGATACTCTCACCTCAAGAAGAATATCAAGAGATGCTTATGTTTAACAATGCCATTAGAGAGATTTTTTTGAACCGTTTTGTACAGATTTTTTCTAATTACGAACACTTCGTTATTCAACCAAGTCAGGTGCGAAAGAGTATTCATATAAGTTGCTTCATAATATATAAGAATCTCTTTAGAAATTGATTTAGTACGCGAAAAAGATAAGAAAAGTTCGTATAAACATATGTTCTATTTATTATCATTTTTGAGTTACAATGAGTTTTTATTCGGACTCATTTCTCCATGGGAAATGAACCGGAGAATCATGTGTTAATTTCTTAAATACTTACACATTTAAATGTGATGTATATATTTTATGCAGGATGATGCTCAAACGCATTTCAGTTAGAAGCAGTTAGGCTACTTTGAAACAAGCGATTTGCAAGTAGTTGAATAAGTCGTGAAGATCCTATTTCCTATTGTGCTCGCTCCACGATTTAAATCGGACTTGTGAAACATACATTGATAATGTTCAAATATTTCACAACAAAACTAAAGAAAGTTTTCAACAAATTTAAACTATACAAATAGGAAGAATAGGACAGACAATAGTAAAACGTTTGCAGACTTATGTTTATGCGTAAGGATATTATTTCGAAGCTCTATCATAAAATTAAACAAATGTAGTTCGTTCAAAAGCAAACTCGTTACTCGTTAATTCAAAAATAAGAATAAATGTGTTTATTTCGATCTGTTTTTACCTTTTTTACCTACTAATATTTATATTTATATAAATGAATATCTATGAAAATAATATTTATATAAATTAATATCTAATATCTAATAATATAAATGACATCTATATAATATGAATTATAAAATATAAATAATATAAATAATATTTAACATAAATATTAAACTGTATTTGAGGAAGAAAAACGATTGTTTCTTTCAGGACAAAGATGAATGGTTGAATAATAGGGATAGCATGCATGTTTTTGATAAGGCTACATTTTTATCTGACCAACCCACACAGCATTTGCCATTTTTATCAAGGTTTCTAGAAACACAAATGTTTGCATCTCTTGTCGACAGCAAAGTTATGTCAACGTGGAGTGAGCTTGATTTTAACACACGAGTTTTTGATCAAAGAATTTCTCTCTTAAGGTAAGCATAAGAAAGATAAATTTTTTGTACCATTATTCTGTGATATTCTCCCAAATGATAAAGTTATTCTTGTTTATTATAGGAAAAAAGTTGGAGAAGGTATTGTAAGATCGACACGTTATGAACCTTGTACAAGTATTGAAGAATCGCAAAAGGTATTGGAACAAAGGTTGACAAACGTAGATTTTGAAACGAATCCACCTACAGAGATCGTTCCTCATAGAGCAGCATATTTTCGAAGTTTTCCCTTGTTAGACAGTGTAGCATTAAATAAGGAGCCAACTCAAAGGTAAATATTTTGAACAAATGCATTTTTCTGACAATTAGATCAACACAAGAAATATTAACGGTTATTATTTTATTTCCTGCTTCACGTGTAGTATACTTCGGTAAGAATTTACTTGAAATTTTACAGCATTATACATGTATATCTGAGGTTACTATATACTATCATATAATTTGATTCACTGTTTTATTTTTTATTTGCAGTATCCTGAAAATCAGCTATTATAATTATTAATTGTCTAAATATTTTATTTATTCGTACAATTTTTATTTCTATTTTTAGAGTTTAATTAATTTTATATCTATAACAGTAGTCGGAGAGGTCAGACTCAGTGGAAGTATAAAATGAAATCTATGGAGTCAAATGGGAAAAGTCCAGTACCTCAAGAAACACAATCACCTCGACCTCAAACTAAGCTCTCTGCAGATATGAGTCCAGCATTAATAGCACAAGCAAATTGGACATTTGTTGAAAAATTGCTCAAAGTATATTTACTAAAATGAAAATAAAATAAGTAAATTTATTAACACGAGAAAGTTACGTTAATCTGCTTTTTTGTGTTTGTTTTAAGGATTGTAAATCAAAAACAAAAAGAATGTTGGTTGAAAAAATGGGTTCTGAAGCAGTTGCATTAGGTCATGGCGGTGAATCGTTATCCGATGTCGAAGAAAATACGCTAGTTGCCAGTCTCTGTGATCTCCTAGAACGAGTTTGGAGTCATGGATTGCAAAATAAACAAGGGAAAAGCGCTCTTTGGTCGCATCTTGCCATGTATCAAGAAGAAGAGTGCAACGACCCGAGTAAACCAATAGATCCTAATTTTCTTTCTCCTGGTATGTGGAAATTTGTTATACTTTAATATCTGTTACACACATCGCACTTTATCATCGAAACTGTAATATTTACTAAAATTCATGACGTTTGGAAATGCAGCGTTAGCGTGGTGCGTCCTACGGAAACGTCTCGATTGTACGTGTCTTATTCTATTTCAGATAAAGTGTTAAAAGTAGAGATTAGTTTCTCATACGTAGATACTCTGCACTCCCTTAGTTGTAAGTGACACATTATTCATAAATAATTATTTATTTGATTCTATATGTTTTTGCTAAACGTGCACATACTATAGTGAATATGTTTGACTGTTATTTCCGAGAGAATATTGATTCTGTAAAATCACACGTTTTAAATATAGTGTTTTGCTATTATGAAGTATAATTTAGAATTGCAAAACATAATACAAATATTTCTTTATATGATCAAATTGCTGCCTACTTCCTTTTTCATGCTTACTTCATAGGTGTTATTCATTTTCATTTTATTTAAAATTTTATTTATTATAGGTATTATTACACTCAACCTCTTATAACAAAGCACTATAAAAATTCGGTTTCGATATAACACAGCACAAAAATTATAAAACGATTTTATATACCACGACTTAATAAATATTCATTCATATGAACAACATTCATATAGCACGTATGTATGTTTTACTACATTGTTTTGATTTCGCTTAACACGGTTTCAGTACAATGCAATTAATTAATCGTGTAATAGGAGGGTTGACTGTATTAAATATATTGTCCTCTACTTATGATGGTAATGTAACTCAAAGAGTAAATAAAATATTTTAAACTATAATTTTAAAGTATCATTGAAACATTTTTAAATATTAAAGTTTCATAAATAGTCCAAAATATTAAGTAGTTTCAAATATTAAAGCTCTAGCAAAGAGCTAGTTATCTAGTATCAAAGTAATATTAATACAAATTAATAATTTCTTCTTTTAGTATCACAACAAAATAAAGAATAATTCTTTACTTTATTGAAATTAGAAATATTGCTTTTTGAGTCACAATATTATTTAAAACGTGGATCAATGTTTCTTTTTCAGTTGATTTTTATTTGCGTTTCATTTTTCTTTGTTGTAAATAGCCAAGAAATCACCAAGTAGCTTTTTTGGATTACCAGAGCGTTTAATTTCATCTTTAAAGGGCAAAAATATTTTTGAAATTGCTTCTTATATCAAGGAGAATTTTAATGGTAAGCCCTAGCATTGGCTTGCCACAAGTAATTCGATCAGCTTTTTCTCTAATACATATATACACACTATTTCTATATTTAAATGTAATAATCATAATAAATATTAGCAAATCGCATGATTTGATATATGTCTTAAACATTAAAAGACAGTTTTTAATACATATTCACACAACTTGTAGGTATCGTAGATATGTAATGTCAAAAGCGATTTCCTTTTATTAGTTTATTAGTGACGTACTACAAAAATATGAAATAATTAGCATGTATAACATAATTTTAAATTAAAAATAAAAACATTTGTATTTCATACATGGAATGCCTGAAATGATTCTTCCAGGGTGCATCTATTTCTTTTTCGTCCAAAGCATGAGATTATCATTTGCATGCAGTGTTAAAAGTACTTTTTATAAAAGTGTGAAAAACGAGTTTCAATTATTCTGTCTATTTGAAATTATTGTGTAATTAGATTTCTATATTTGTTAACAATAACAGATCTACCAAACCTGGCATTGGAGATCGACTCGCCTACACGAGGCACGGATAAGCACAAGTCTCCTGGCGACAGAAAAATTGGCCCTGAACATTTGAGGCCTTTGCCTAATTCTTTGCTTTTTGATATTCGGAATGTACAGGCAATGACTGATATTAAAACGCATATTGGATATGCTAGAGCCTGGGTTCGATTAGCACTTGAAAAGAAACTTCTTTCTCGTCATTTGAAAACTTTATTATCAGATACCAGATTGTTAAGGTAAGATTGGTAGAAATACTACTAATTACTTAAGTTTTATAATATTGATAAATTGGCTTTTAGTTGCTACAACGTGTTTTACAACTAACATAAGTAATAGTTAACATTTTTGGTTATATTGTAGAATATTATATAAATAATAAAATTGAAGATTTTTTTATGTCATTTTGCTTTTAGAAGTCAGTATAAGCGCTCGGCATTTTTGCGTTGCGAAGAAGAAAAGGAACAATTCTTATACCATCTTTTAACGTTGAATGCCGTCGATTACTTCTGCTTTACAAACAATTATCCAACTACGAAATTGCCATACAGGGTCGTTATATTTCCTAGTCGAAAAGCTAGCGCAGCTACTACTTCGGCAAACAGTTGGATCGCTATTTCTGGTACATTGTGTGAAACAAATCCAGTGCCAATTCCCAAGGGAGCGTTGGAATTTGTGTTTCATGTATGTTCTTATAAATACATAATTCATATTTAACATTTCATGACTCATTTCATATTTAACATTTTCTGAATTTTAGAAAATATAGAATGTTAAGAGAATTAATTATTTTTCATGACTTTACATAATTTTATAACGTTTATTTTAGCATAAGAATTTGGGCGTGCTCTCTACATTACGTATAGGACATGACAATACAGGTCTTTCGCCAAAATGGATGGTAGAACATGTTGTGGTGAGAAATGAAGTTACAGGGCACACATTTAAATTCCCTTGTGGTAGATGGCTTGGCAGAGGTATCGATGATGGATCTACTGAAAGATTATTAGTAGGTGCCTTGGTACCACGTAATATCGATAGTGAAGAATTGGTTGAATCATGTTCAACACCACCAAGATGTAGGTCTCCTAGTATACCTAGACGTCCTATAGTGTCTCAAGTCGAACTGCAACATATGTTAGGTAAATATTATTGAAGTACATACACCTTTGAGTTTCTAATTCAGAAAGTAAATTTAAATGCTTATATTATGCCAATGAAAAAAATATATATACATTCATATGTAATCATTTATATATTTTCACTTATATACAGGTTGAATCACTTAAAAGGTGAAATTGAAATATCTTCGAAGCTATTAATTATATTAAAAAATGTTTTAGATATTTTAATATTGTTAGCTTTATTATTTATTATTAGTTAGTCTGTTGGTGGGCGCTTAAAAGTCGTGCTGTGATCATTTTGTTTTTTTTAAAATAGAATCATGTATTTTGTAATGCTTTAAGCGATACAGCTTGAGATTTACCATAAAATATCATTTACCTACTTGTATCGAAAAACTATTACTTTAGTAGATATTTTGACTTCTATTTTGTAAAATTTATCATATAAAAGATCTAATAGCTTTTCAATACATGTAGCTAAATAATTTTTTGTAAAGAATCTCTAAATTATATCCATTAATGCATTACAAAGTATATGATTTCATTTAAAAAAACAAAGCTAACCTTCATACAATCTGTAAGCACCCACCTACAGAAAAATTAATAACATTAGAACATGCCTCGCTTGAAACCATACAATTTTTATCTGAAACTTTATCTTAAGTATCAAAAATATTTCAGCTTCAATTCTTAGGTGATTCATATTATACATGTACAAGTTATAGTAGTTATAATGTTTTATTTCTTTTCCTTTGGGATTACAAAATGCCCTTTATTCTACAATAATTCTTATTCTGTATTTCCGTATCTACTTAACTAGCTTAGTCTATTAACTAGCTAATATCCTCTCTACATTTTCCTGCTATCCTCTCGGTTCTTCCTCACATATATCTCTTGCACATATTCCTATGTCTCTTTTTCTTTTCCACACAGCCTACACTCCTTTCTCTCTTACTTTAATCAATATTTTCCTTGCCCAATCTCGTTGCCTAATCTGAATCTTGTGAGTCTCCTCACTTTATCCTCATTTCATCTTTTCTTCAGATGTATTGGCATTTCTTTCGCTCTTATTGCCTTCTCTCCTTTCCTCTTTCTACATTCTGCTTTTCTCTCTCTATGTCTTCCATCTCCTATTTTTACCCTTGCCTCCACCTTCCTCCTCCGCTCTTCCTCCTATTCCCTCTATTTTCTTCCATGCACTCTCCTTTACCAGGCTCCGTCTAGTTTCTTCCTTATATTTCCCTTCTCTCTTTTTTATATTCTCCACTCTTCAGTTTTCTTTCAAAGCTCTATGTCCTTATTCTCGCTCTCATTCTCGTCATGTCTCTTTTTAGTTCCTCTCTTATCAAGTATCCTAGAATATACCAATCCACACCTAATATCAATCTAAAATACTTTCCACGCAGAATCTCTCTATCTCTTTCCACGCCCATATCTTACTCTGTATTCTGTGATTGTTCATATTAGTTTATCGAGTAATCATATTCATTTTCTACAATCCTTTCCAAACATTCCTTTTCCTAACCCTTTTTCTCTGCCTTTTCTGCCTTTTTACAACTGCCAAAATCTTAACTCTTTTTCTGATATGTACTTCCTGTTCTTTTCCATTTCTTTTCATTCTGTATACTAGATATATAAAATCCTCTATTTCTTCACTTTTCTATTTCCAGTTCACTTTTTTCACTTTTCCACCTTCCATCTTCAACCTCATCACATTCGATTCTTTCACGTTTAGCGTAAGACATTTTTCTTTCAGGTATCTCTTCAGGCTCTTTATGATCTCCACAATCTCCTTTTTTCCTTCTGCCAAAATTATTATATTATTTCCTGTATACAAGTTGCATTATAACTTATAATTTATAAAATTTCCATTCAAAAAAACGTACGTAATTTTATAGGAGAGTCTGTAAACGCGATTGTCAAATTCCACTATAGAAGAGAATGTCAGGATGGTTCTTTGACTGCTTTACTTTGTGGGGAAGGTGGTCTTGTGCCATCTTTAGAGCAGATATTTTTATTCGGTTTTAAGAACCAAAGAATATTTGGGAAAAATTTTTACGTTTGGGATTATCTCTGTAAGTTATTATTTTTCGCTATTTCATTTTAGTTTTATTTTAAACCTTCTATTGTCAAATAAATAAAATAGTTAACTTTTATTTGTTTCAGTACGTGTAAAAGAAAATTTTGAAATTTCTTTGCTGGAAGAAATGGACGAATATTCACAGAGGCTGAATAGAGATAGACGAATTCACGCAGAGAATAATCAAAGATTTACGACTTTAAGATGTTATTGTCATCTTATTGATCAAATTAACTTATTCAGTCAAACTCTTGGTAAAGATGGAAAATTTCAGTTATTCATTTGCTTAGCAGCAAGGTATATAAGTTATAATTTTAATAGCTTAAATATTTGTTGGGCATATTACTGTAAATTTAATTACTACTTTCTTCTTCCAGAGAACAGCTTCTTCATTCAATGCTTCGGCCAATGAGTGAAGCGCGCTCTACTGCAGACATGTATGAAGAAACTTCTTTCTTAAGAAATACTACATTATTAAATTTCCTTATTCACATTCTTGAACCACTAAGCGAATTTCACATTGTCCTCGAAAAGAGCTTGACTCATGGAATTTCTAGTATATGTTAATTTATCATAAACATTCCAATAATTAGGTAAGATATGCTGGATTTTTTGCTATACGCTGTACTTTACAAAATTTTTATTTTTAAATGATTGCAGAATAACTTAAATTTGATCATATACTTTCCTGTAGGATACATTTCTTTAAAACGGCACAATTTATAAAATTCTAAATAATACGAGGCGAACAGAATAAATGTTATAGTATTGGAAAAATGATAAACTTTGTAAAACTCTACTATTAAGGATCTAAGAGAAATTTAATAATGCAAATGAAGACTGTTATGCTGATGTAAAATAGTCGTTTTTAAATGATGATTGTTTGACAGAAAGTTGATATATGAGTGATAACGAAAACAAAGATCTTTCTCTGTTCCGGAAGTTGATGATATTGATAACAATAAGAGTTCAGTGAAATATAGATAATCTAATTTCGCCCATCTTGCCGTAGATAATTGATAGAGAAACTAATTAAGATTGTTGAAACTGACGTATCGTGTACCAAAGATGTGATCCTATTAGTTATTACTATTAGTATTATTGATATTATTATTACTAAGGATTTAGTTTTTTTTACAATTTTTGCCGTAAGCAGAATATCTAAAGAGCGTGCAAACAACGTATATTGCAATAATTAATAAGTTAGACAAGATAAATATCAATTTTGTACGTTCCATTATTTATTACATTAATCGAAATCATTAATAATAGGAAATATAACTTTGTCGAGAGAAATATTAGAATAGGAAAAAATTTACGACTTGTTAATTTTATCTTTCTCCACTCTCATAAATCACATTATGTTAAATCATGAAAATGGTCGATTAATTTTTTAATACGTTGTTTATACATACTTGTGAACAGATACCTGCTTTATTAGTTAATACTATTTCCTTTACCTTTTTTTATCGAATATGATCGAAGATTTTTTTATTTTTACTTATACGAGTACTGAGCTGCAAGAAACAATAACGTCAAAGTTTAAGACTTAATATTAGCAATTTATATTTCTTCTCTTGTAAAATTTGAAATTCAATTAGTGTATTGTAGTTCGATTCGAAATCAGAAGCACGTAATATATTATGAAACATTTATGCGCATATTCAAGAAAAAATGGACCAACCGATTTAATCATTTATTACAAGTTTCGAAGTGTGACAATTGATTTTTGACGTGCAAGCTGTTTCTTCGAAGTTTTAATGTAATTGATGATCAAGATAAGTAGAATACTCCACTAATTTGAAGAAATAGTTTTTAGAGTTCAATTTTATCGCTAGCATTTCACTGACATTCAATACCACACCCATTGCTAAAAATTGTTCTTTCGTATTATTAACCAGTGTACTATTGCTCATTCTTCGTAAAGCACGCGTGAATAATATTTTTTATTATAAGCTTTAATGTTTAACGAGTTTACTTGGGTATACTACAATTTTTGAAAAAATCTTAATAATTTCAATGATACTAAATTTTTGGGGGTTTCGTTTTACTTTTTTGCTATTTTATTCTGATATTAAACACAGTTAAAATTAAACATTAAATTTAATTTTAAGAATTACTAATTCTAAAGAATTTTAAGCATTGAAAAAATATTTCGTTAAGTAAAAAAATTTAATACAACTATTTCTCATTTACAATTCACCTTAAATTTAATTACTTTTGTATCTAATCTTTTAAAAAATATTAATTTCAAGCAGAAATAATTTTAAATATCTTTTGTTGATGTAACCATAAAATATACAAGGTTGCAAAGTCAAAATATCAAGTATGTATTCACACGTGTTCATTGTGTACATTCATGACATTGATACATATTAAGAAATAATTTATAGCGAGTCTCTCGCACCTGTGGCCAAATTTAAAAGTTTACCGTGTCATCTTTTACATAGATCCGTGGATGTAAAACTTTAATTCTAATATCTGTTAACACATTGCTTATTAACTAAGAGTATCTTTTAATACATTTTTCAACGTTAAGTTTCAACTTTTTATATAATATCCGTTATTACATTTTAATCTTTCTGAAAATAGAATGATTCTTTATCTCCTCAATTATAAAATATAAATTTACCAACGTATATATCATATAGAAATTTTATATCTAAGTATTCTATACTTATATTTGTATTCTATTGTATGCTGTTTTATCAAATAATATTGAAGTGGAAAGCAATGTGTTAATAAATGAATAGGAAAATGAATATGACGAAAAAAAGAAGAGTATAGAATTTGTTAGTTATGTATCATTAGTTGTTTCATCCGGAACATACATTAAGATTTGTTTGTTAATTAATTACGTTGCTGTATATTGTTGACAAAAATAATGAAATACTCGCTTAATGATCTGGTTGGGTTACTTTCCCTAGATTTTGTAGGAAAAAAATAAAACGGTTGTACACATAAAATTATGTTTCATATCAGTTTTAAACGGATTATTGTATATTTTGTTGTTTTAACAATAATCACGTTTAATCAAAAGGGGAAACAAAAAATTGTATTTTAGGTAATTGTAAAATGTGTATTGTGATCGTTTTGTTGTTAAATTGGAGGATAGTGCGTTGCACTTTATATTATTTTACTTTATTATGCTTTGGAGCATGCCTGGTGTCGTCATGTTAAAGTTGCCTATAATTTTAATCTCTCTATGATCTTCAATAAAGTCAAATGTTAAATGGAATTTATACAAAATATGTACAATAGATATTTTTAAAATATTAATATTACAGAAAAAAATGGCGAGATAAATTAAAAGCTATAATGAATTATGTATAAATGAATTTTTTTGTTATTTTTAATATACAGAATGGTTCATTATTAAATAAAATATTTAGGATTATAATTTTATAAATTTTTACTTGGAAAAAATTGTAAAATACTTCATATATCAGCAAAATGATATATAATTAGTGCAAACACGTAGTTAAAGAGCTTAAAATATAAGCTTCGTAATAATATTTCAGACACTTCAACATGACGATGTGCGCTTATTCACAATACTCAAACAAGTAGTTTATGCGTAAGTATCGATCTAAGATTTAAAAGTCATGTTCATGTAATCACGATCCATGCTCGATCGTTCCATAGATTCCTTACCAAGTTTGTATATAAATTAAAAATTAAAGCTTCATGTAACGTATAATAGGATCTTTTACAAGGTAAGCCACATAATATAATTGTATATATATAATGTAAAACAAAATACTATAATACTGTACAGTAGAATAAAGAATTACCAAAACTGATTGATTTGTGTTTAATAATTAAAAAATTATTAAATATTTAAGTATTGATGTTACGATTTGGTTTTTATCTTCGGTGTTCGTAATTGTTATGTGTTACTCTGGATGTTGAATCTTGGATTTCTCGAATTATATTTAAATCAAAACGGTAGTAGCTGCCACCAGAAATAGTTATTAACTATTTCGATTTGGTTCGACTCTCATTTATTATTTCTGAAACAAGGCAAACGACTGAATGCAATGGATTCAAAAACTTGTCGCACCCTTTTAAGGCGCAGCACTATTTTGAATTTCCAAACTGTTATATCCTTGACGTTCTAATTCGTTGATACAACCGTATGGGTAGCGTTAATTAGCTTATCAATACAACTGATAAATTGAATGCCACGTTTCGGCTTACCCGCTATGTGCAAGAGCACTAGCACGGGAGGGATTAAGGTTCTCTTAGAATAAATAAATAGTTTCAATATCTTCTTGATTGTTGACAATAATAATCAATGAATAATTTTATCGAAGTCGTACATGTGGTACAAGTCCGAAATTAAAGAAGAAAATTACAATGTTTAGTTTCTCACCTTGCTTATATGTATGGTCGATCGCATTCTTGGAATATCGTATTGAGTTAGTATAGTTGTTGCAAGACTAACTGTATTAATCACAATTCACAATTAATTTCTTAGGTACGGTTGAATTTTGTGCGGTGTTGTTTCTCTCTACGGCAGAGTTTGACGCGAATTACGCGTAAACGATACAGCACTACAATATGTAACGGACAATGTGTAACGGAAATTTATACTGATTATTCCATAATAGCGCGGAGTTTTGGTATATGATTATTTCTGCGGACGCTGCAATCTTCGGTTCTACTGGTGTCCTCCCAGAAGTATTAGGGTTTCAGCTGATGTGATTTTCGTGGAAGTATTATTGATGTTTTTCTTTTTTTAGAAGTCCTTGTTGTTGCATTCTTCTTGCAATATTAGTTTCTGCTGATGATAGGTCGTACTCTGCTAAACACGTGGTTACCTTTGTTGGTGTCGATACTTGATCATTTGGCGCAGTTGTTTGTCACTGCAGATGAACGGTCAAGATAAATTTGAAAGCGTTAGAGAAATTAGGTGATCCGCTAACGTCGAATACCGTGATATGCGACCTGATCGCCTCAAAGTTACCGCAGTCCACCGTACGCCAATGGCATCGCACGTTGCCGAACAAAAGACTGCCCGATTATACCCATTTGATAGATTTCTTACAAACAAGGGCAAACGGCGATCAGACGAACGCTTCAACACCAATGATAAAAGGGGATTGCAACGCACCCGTTATCGTCGGAACGCACCACGAGGACACACATTCGCCACCACAGATCGGATGTTGGTGTGTCCGACCTGCAAAGGACCCCACGAACTCAGATATTGTAAAGTCTTCAAAGTCAAATCGGCTACAAAACGCCTTGAAGTTGTAAAAAAGGCGTCGCTCTGTATAAATTGCCTAGGCAGATGACATTCGCTTACCCAATGCACATCCGGTTCGTGTCATATATGCGGGCAACAATATCATACACATTTACACTGAGCGCACACTCAGGTCAGTCCACGGGTTTCAAGCGACCGCGCGTCAAGCGGTCAGTATTCAACGAGCGGTCGATCGTCGGGAGATCGATCGTCGGACGGTCGTTCGCCCGATCCTCTAATGGACGATCTCCACCTGGATCATCGAAACCGCGCTTTCCACATTGTTCGAGATGTACAACCGAACCTTCGCGGAAATCCATTCAGTCGACTCCAAAAGACCGAAAATCTCATCCTTCGTATGAATCTCGATCATCACGGATCAAATACACCGACTAAGGCTCATCGTCCAAATACCAATCGGGAAAGAATTGAATAGATAAACCTACGCATTCCTGGGCGCTCTACGCCGATTCATCTCTCAGCAAGGATACTGCGCGACAATTATCACGGACAATGGCACCAATTTCATCGGGGCTAACAGGGAGTTGCAAGAACTTCGGATCCTATTGCAGTCCGACGAACACAAGGAAAGGATACAAGTTTTTTCGACGACCGACAGATACAATGGCGTTTCACCCCTCCAAATTCACCATCCTATATCATCCGATCCGAATGTTCTCCCTGTCCTCACTCCCTGTCACTTCCTAATAGGTGATACACTAACGAGTTTACGGGAGCGTGATTTCAGGACAGTTCTACCATGCCGGTATCCAATTGGCAGCGTATCCACCAGATCAAGCAACACTTCAGGAGCCGATGGAATTATAAGGAACGCTACCGTGCAAACGGCAACGAGCATCTTGGATCGAGGTGCCACACAGCTCGTCCTTTTCTTTTTTTTTTTTACATTAACGTGGAGGAAATCCGCAAGGACACCAGGTCGCTTCTGGGGAAAAGCGGCGTGGTAGTGCCGGACTCCAACCGACTAAAACCTTCACGATGACCGTTCCTGCTGCGATCAAAAGGGGTCCGGGAACCGGTGTGAGCGATACACCGCCCCCCCCCC